TTCAATCACATCACATCATCCAGCATTTAAGGAACTCAACAGCTGACAAATTAACATCACACCCGTATACTTTATTTACGACTACTTCTGCCATTCTGAATCAGAAATTGTGAAATCTAAGGTAAAATGAAAGAAAAGTTTAAACACTTGATGGATGAATTTGATCGTTCAGCTTGAATGTCGTTTACAGGACATCTAACAAATAAGAGCATGAACATAAATCCACAATGAAAGCTTCAAATGAAAGATCATAAACGTGGCAAATAACATTCTAATTAAAAGTAGCATTAACAGATCCATATATGAAAGATTGAAAATAAAAATGAATAAATAGACAGACAAAATTTCCATCTTGTTGTATTTCCCCCGGGTAGAAATCGTTGCATCGTCTCCACACACTGATGCTCAATCTTACCCCGAGAACATTTGGCTGGTTCTTGCTGAACTTCCGGATGCCAACGCATTGTGGGAGTCCATCACCCACGGGTGCAGGGGGGTGCACATGGGTGACCACCATTACACCCTCCGCTGTCGTGTACATGGTTGAAGACATGTTTCCGCTCTTCTGAACCACAGCTCCGAGCTCAGTGACATATAAGAAAACGTGTTAATAACTGATGAGGGAATCATTAACACAGTGCACTGCCCTCGTGCACAGACCCTTATCACTCTGCTGTGACTGGACTGACGGGAACTGAGACGATACACAGGGGAATAAAACCATGAAACCCAAACTAAATATTTACAGAATAAAAGGAAGAGTACGAGGATTTGATCCAGAGCACATTCCTCCACTAAGGTCCAACAATCCTACACATGACTGACTAGTTCTTACAGCAGAACTATGACAGAAAAAGTTATTTATTTACTTTATTAACCTAAATCATTTATTTGTCACTTAAAAAAAAAAAATCCACCTCTTTAACTGCAACTACATGTGACATGAAAAGTTGTCAAATCCAGAGTTCTTCTTTAACTTGTTTGTAATATGTTTTGATTTATATAAAACACATTCTTGAGGTTCACAAAAAGAGATTTGATTAGACAGACTTTATATATTTGAATAGCTCTGAGTAGTGGGCTGACATGCAGTATTTTTCTGGCTTACTTGTGACCCACATCTTGTATGTGCGTGCGTGTGTGTGTAATAAAGGGAACACTTACCAGGAAAAGAAATTTAAAGAATTTCACCTTTGGACACGATCCTCCAGCAAGAACCACGGTCGTGAACTTCTTGGTGGAGACTAGATTCTTCAGGAAGTCTTTTACACAAAGCACAGTGGGGCGACACCCCTTATTCTTCAGAAACGCAACTCCTCTTCCTCTTATTTCTCAGAAAAACGACTCCTCTTCCTCTTTTTCCTCAGAAACGCAACTCCTCTTCCTCTCCCTGTGAAGACATTTCGTGTTAACCCAAATGTCGCAATCACGGGTAGTCATTACTTCTCAGGGCATTTTGTTTTCACCCTGAATGTTTGGGTTGGTTTTATCTCGTTGTATTATTAAAAAAAAAAACTGAACAAATGGCTGCCAGTAAATTTGGTGGAAGGATGTTGTCTGTGAACCAGATCAGGGGGAGGGGAGTTTCCTCTTCACAGACACATTTGGTGCAGATCCACATAAAAATGAGTATCTAGTGAATTTAAAAGCTGTGTCCTAATGCAGGGGTTACACTAGAGGAGGTTCCACCCATCTTCAGTATGAGAGGAAAAACACTGTGAGCTCAAACACACAATGAAGTCAGCCCTCCTACACTGTTTCCCTGTTGTCAGTTTAAGGTTTAATGTGATCGCAGCATTGAGTCAAACTGTTGATTGACTGATAGAAGTATATATGATAATCACACATAATATAAATACAGTTTATCTTCATTACTATAGAAACAAGAACCAGCTGATCCACAATGTGTTTTTATCAAACATTCAAACTCAGGTGAAAGATCATTTTCTCTGTTTATTCTGCTGTGAACCTCAAAGTTGATCTGTCATTGATTTGTTCTAACGTGGCTTTGATTTGTTCTAACGTGGCTTTGATTGTGAAAGACAGCGAGGAAATGACAGTGGCGGACCACAGACGAACAACAGACAACTGAGTCTGCGGAGCAACCTCTGGTGGTTCTGCAGCTTGAAGACATTTTCATTAAAGAGGTAAAGAAAGACAATTGTCCACACTGAGATGTAAAACCAAAGTCTGGCCACTAGATGGCGACACCTTCACAGACAAGTCTGTGACATGAAAAGTAAAAACTCTTTAATACATTTATACAGTGAGTGGCAGTTATCAAATCCAGAGTTGTTCTTTTAATTTGTTTGTAATATGTTTTGATTTATTAAAACACATTTTTGCTTCAAAAAGTATTTTGAGCTCTTTTCTTCAAAAATATTAAAAACATAAAAACTGCTGTTGTTCAGTGTTTTCTTCTTTTCTGTGCAGATGTTCATCATTTCACCTCATCTGTGTTACATTACTGTTTTTCCTCTTCAAATAAAAACAGAAAATGAAATCTGGACAAAATAAATGAGTAAAAAACACATTATCTATTACTTCATATAATAAACACGACTTTGTATTTCCATGTTGTTGTTGAGAGGAAACTTTAATGTTGTGTCAGCTGAGTGAAACTAAAAACTCATGAGTTGCATGTTAACGCGTCTCTGTGGGTTTAGAGAAACATTGCAGTCATTTAAAAAACTGATGAGTTGATGACACCTGAGATTTAATTTAAAATTAAATTCTCAGCTGACACACAGAATATTATTAAACTGAGGAAGCGCGAGGTCATTTCAAACTTATTATTACTGTGTGTGCGTGAGCAGCTTTAAATAAAGATGATTAGAATTAAATTAACCGCTGGAGGGCGCTAACACGTCACAGAAACAACCATCAGCACGTGCAGCGTTTTAAAAGTGAGAGAGAGAGAGAGAGAGAGAGATATGAAAGAGAGAGAGGGAGAGAGAGAGAGAGATGAACAGAGGAAAGAGAGAGAGGGAGAGAGAGAGAGAGATGAACAGAGGAAAGAGAGAGAGGGAGATAGAGAGAGACAGAGATGAACAGAGGAGAGAGAGGAGAGAGAGAGAGAGAGAGGGAGAGGAGGCAGGAGGAAGCTGCAGCTGATTCTTCTCTCAGTGATGTTACACAAGCACAGAGAGATGGACTGAGAGAGTTTTATTCTGAGGAGGAACGGGAGGAATAAGTGGGGGAAGAAGAAGAGGAGGAGGGAAGAAGAAGAGGAAGAAGAGGAGGAAGAAGCTGTGTGTTTCTCTGCATCGTTTTCATCAGTGAAAGTGAAAAACTTCCGGACTTGTGATGGGGTGAATCTGACTCTGAGGAGGATGCTGATGAACGAGTGAGTAAACTTATCAATAAATCAAAAAAGAATAAAAGAGGTGAAGACATTATAGGGGTAGAATATGTGAGAGTATGAAATATAATAGACTTTAATAGAATTGAAAAATTGTGTCCTTAAATGTTTTTACAATTCCTTTTAGATTTTATCGATATATCAGAGTCAGTTTAGGATGTGTTTATTATGATTATTATTACTATTATTATTCTTATTATAATGGTTAACAACAACAATAAAAGTGGTATTTTACTGATCCAGAGTTTTTAACGATGCTCGGAGATGTTTGACTCACAGAAAGCAAATAGTTTTCTCTTTTTTTCATTATATTTGTTGGTTGGTTAATAATAAATCTGAATAAACAGTTTTAATGAATAAATGTTCTATAGGATTATATGAACAAACCCCTGAGAAAAAAAACTTCAGAATAAAACTGGACTAAAACTACAAAAGTTTCAGAATATGAAGAAAAAACTCAATTTGACTCTTTAAATATGTATACTGTGATTTTAATCTACAAACACAAAAGTAAATCAAATAAAAAACCCACTCGACCCGAGCGTGAAAAGATTTCTTTTGTCCGGAAAGAAGTAAAGTTGCATCATGTTTGAGTGTCGAAGGGAGTTGGTTATCGCAGGTGTGTTTTTCTTCTTCTTCTCTCCACCGCTGTGATTTGAAGCCGCTGAGCTTCCTGGTGCTGAATTATAGATCAACTTCATTTCTGTATGAGCAGCAGGCGGATCCCTGAGGCCCCAGCATGGGTCCTTTATAGACGCAGAGGGAGGGGCCACATTGTCTCACTGCTTTTACTCTGTTTCTGTTTGTTTGGGGCAAGTGCATGATGGGAAAAAAGAGAAAACCTGAAGGTCACTCATGCGTCACCTCCACCACGGCCCAATAGTCAGCTCGTCCTCAAGTCCTCTAAATATGGCAGATTTTTTCATTAAGATCCATGAATTTGAAAATCAGTGAAAATGTAACTTTGATGATTTTGTCATTTTTCACGTCCTCCTACCAAGTTTCATGATGATCCGTCCAGTAGTTTGAGCCTAATCCTGCTGACGGACAAACACGAACTTCTCTGAACTGAACCTGCATCATAATAATCAACAGTTTTTGACTCTAGTGAAATTTGAGGATTCGTCTAATCACTACTGGGAATTATTTTTCAGATTGAAACACTGTGAGGCAGCCTCCGAAATTTAACACAAATTACCTGCATGGTATTTTTATAAGATAAGATTTATCCTTTATTTGTCCCATTAATGAGGGAATTTGCCATATTACAGCAGTAATGTGTAAGAAAAATATAGAAGTTTCCTGAAAAGTTTCGCTCGAACGTACTTGAGTAGAAATGACTCCTCACTACATCGGCCTCCGTCCACTAACACATGAGGGATGAGAGAGAGACAGAAACTTGATTCAACGGCAGCAGGAAGAAGAGAAGAGATGAAGTCAGGCTGCTCTGTTAAAAACAACATTAAGTTCACATTAGGTTTAACACCTGTCTGAGATGAGGCCATTTCCTGCAGCGCACACTTACAGACGATAACATCGTTACATCTCACTCTCAGGGTGGAGCTCCTCCGTCCTGTCGGAGCGAGCGCTGCACAGATCTGATGTTCACACCAGGAGACGTAAAGAATTAGAAGAAGGAGCCAGATCATTTCTTTTTTCCCTGGAACTTGATTATTAAGAAACATTTAAGCAACAACAGAGGCTGCGATTGAAGGTCGATTGCATCACAGTGTCACAAATGTAGCGTCCAATTTCGAGGGCTCCTTCAAATGCAGCAGACAAATTCGTCCTTTCGGGTCACGATGACGGCTCCAACGCATGCATCCTTCAGGCCAACCTCTCCCACAATCCTTTTCTCGGTGACTGAACTGTTTTTCAAATGAGACCAAAACCGCTGATGGTGCACATAATAAAACCCAAAACAAAAAAATGGGCATTAAAACTGCAGTTCCGTTGCTAGGTAACAGTGGTAAGGGTGGGACAAGCTGGTGATGAAATAGTTGTGTTACCCCCCCTGAATATGAACACAACTTATGTGACGTTCACTGAGCAACAGCGCCCTCTGCAGGCACATGTGTGATTCCTTCTGTTGAGCTACGTGTCCGAGCGATGAAGCACGATCCAGAAATGAAGTCAAAATCCTAACTGCTAACGATCGAGACTCACGGTTTTATGTAAATATTTCTTCATGTTGTAGGGTTACATTGTGAAAAGTGTGTGTGTGTGTGTGTCTGTACTAACAAACATTGGCTAATGTTAAACGAGACTAAATCTTAATTGAAGCCTCTCTGAGCAGAACTCAGATTATTTAATTTGGTTAAAATCTTTGTTTTGGCTCGTTACATTTACTCAGCTCAGACGTGGACTCACTCACATTCAGTCTAAGGACCTAATATAAAGTCTTCTGGGCTCAGGTCCAGTGAACGTTGAGCTTTTTGATTTATGTCTGGTCCATCAAATCAGTGTGTGACTGTCTGCTGCACTCAGACGAAGATAAAGAGCACATGTGACTGAAAGAAGCTCGGAGCCTGAGGTGAATAAGACGGGAAAAGATCTGAGTCACATCCAGGCCTCGATTTAAAAAGTATTTAAAGCTGTGATTAGTCAAAGTGATCACAAATACAAATACCTGCAGCTAAATAACGAGGAAAGACGTGTAATTTGGTGCAGATCCGAATAAAAATCAGGATCTAGTAAATTTGAATGTGGGCTTGTTTTCTCGTTTTTCACCTGTATCTCAGACTCACCTGAGTTGCGTCTTTTTCCCTCGACAGTCGGTAACCATGGTGAAGGAGAGCGTGCCCAGCTGGGTCCACCGGGACCCCGAGGAGGGTCTGATCCATGTGAACGTCGGAGGCCTGAAGAGGAGCCTGTGCTCCACCACGCTGAAGAAGTTCCCAGACACCAGACTGGGAAAACTGCTGTCATGTGACTCAGAGGAGGACATTCTGCAGGTGGGTCAGGTTTTCGCACAAATGTCCAGATAATCGTGTCTTGACATTTTCTGTAGTTAGTCTTTGTCCTGTGAACCAGCAGCAGCAGATGTGGGGAATGCGGAACATGAACATGTACACGCGGAACATGTGGGGAACAAATAACTTGAATCCTTATGTTCCCTCCTTCCTCTCGTAGGTGTGTGATGACTACGACG